TGTCAACTTTAAAATTTTTGATGTCATTAAGTGAATGCAACCATTGAATAGATAAGGCTCATAATTACTTGTGATCTATAATGTTTCTCTTTGTTTGCCCTACAAAAACTTTTCACTGCCAAAAATCTGTTATTTTCAGGCAAGAAATGTGTGATAATTGCCCAACTAAAAGTCAGTGTTTCTCAACCTCCCCAATATTGATTTGATCTTCAACTGGCCAGGGAATTTGGGAGTTGAAACCTATACACCTTAAAAGTGCTGGTGAAACACAGTTAAAAAAAAATAAACATCTAGCCCTCAACTGACTTTAAAAAAAAATAGCAAAAAGATATCTGACATTTCTCAAGTATGGGCTATCTATTGATGGTGTAGATCAGGGGTGGGTTCTACTTACCTTTACTACCGGTTCACATCACGCCTGCACAGATCAGCTATGATGACGTCCAGGTCAGTGGGCGAAGCCTCCCACCAGTTTTACTACAGGTTCTTGCGAACTGGTCTGAACCGGGGGCAACCCACCACTGGTGTGGATGTTTTATCATGATAATTCTTATAGTCCTCACCTAGTCAGTAGTTTCTTCACTGTTGGTATCAGCATAGAAATCAGACTGAGCTGAATAATATCCATAGTCTTTGATGGAGACTGGTCTCTTGGTAGTTACAAGAATGCTTGTTTCATGGGAATCACAAATTCTACAGTTCTCATATTGAGGTCTTATTAACTGATGCATGCATGCCATTCAGTTGTTGATAGGGAATGGATAAAAAGCCGCTAGACAGTTAGGACAGCTAGATATTTTGTGCCAGTGATTAGTAGCATTACTGCAATTGCAAGTTACAAGGTCCATGCTTGCATCCAAGTGCTCAAGGCTGAAATTGCAGCTGTGGAAAGCATAGCTACAGAGCACACTGTGGCACTAAACTGCAACAAAGAAAGAGTATATTACTATTCTAGCATGCTAGCAACTGATGGAAGGTAAGTCTCAACTTGTTTGGAAAACACCAGACTGAGAAAAACTGCCACAATGTTTTGAAACTTCTTGGGAAAGTTATGGTGGTTCAGTGGTATGAAGAAAAGAAACTGATATTTCCTAGAAATTAAAAGCAATTTGAGGATAACAGGAACAGGAAATGGGCTCCATTTTCACCAAACAGGCTCCCTCTAACTTTGCAAAAAGCCATTATATTGATTTGGTTATGTTTCCTAAACAAAAACAAATACATGCAGAATAGACAAAGACCAGAATAGACAAAGCATGTATCCAGAAAAGGTGTCACTTAAAACTTAAAAAGCCAAGATTTTAAAAAAAAAGTTATTAAGACATCAGTAAATTGTACAGAAAAGTAGATAAACTCACAATGTTTTAAACGGAATTGTCCATTAACTAACAAAATAAATATATACTGGATCTCTGAAAATTTGCAGGATTTTCAAGGGGCACAAAGATCCTGTCTGAATGTGAGAATTGTAAAGGGAGAACAGGATTAATCCATTGCTGAAGATGCACTTATTCTTCAGAACTCATTAATTACTAAGAAACTTGATCTTATCAAGGAAGAGCTTATATTTCTTCCCTCTACGTTGTATCTCCAAATTACATTACTTAAATATAGACTTCCACAACAACTTTTGGTATTCCTTCAAGCAGTTCTGTTTTCCAAATTTCCCACAGAGCAAATTATTTTGAAGATAAAGATTCCTTCTTTAGAGAAAAACAGCATTGGGGCAATGCTGGTTAGTACTTGACTCAAAGAAAGCACAATTACTTCAAGTAGTGGGGTTTTTGAACTATTTGTTTCTATTTCTGATGAAACTGAAACTTAAGCCAGACAATTCTGGCCAAATGAAAGAATGGGGAATAAGGTTTTAAACTATGCTGGAGGAATTCAGGAATTCCTGCATCCAGAAATGCAAATCATCTGTGTGCAATACTTTCATAGACAAATCCAGTGAAAGTGGTTGCATGGTTATCAGATCCCTCCATAAAAATGAGTCTTCACATTCATTTTGATTTATGAAATGAAAAGGCATCCCATATGAAGATTCTTTTAAAAAAATGGTTGAAAAAATCAGCTGACTCAAATGCTGCTACTGTTCTTTTGATTAGGGTTGATTATGGGGAGAACATAATGACCTTTTTAAAAACAATTTGCTGAAAAACAATAACTCTTTTGGCATTAGCTGATGATTCAGGATTTCATTTATTTAGTACATTTCTATACCTCATGTAAGTGACTCTGGCCAGTTTAACTGATGGATCCAGTCTGTTTAATTCATACACAGCACTCTGTTTTTCATTATATTTAAAATAATTGTTTGTGGAGGTTGTATCATAGTCATATCATTAGCTGCTTTCAATGTTATTCTTTAAAATATATTAATAAATAAATATGCATGGATTATGTAATGGAGGTTCCTGGAAAAGCTGCACCTACCATACCTTAAACACTGCCTTAACCACTACACCAAACTGGGTCTCTTTCTCTACTATTTGTGGGCAAAGCAAATTTAAAACTGGAAGAAAAATTGAAACAAAATCTCTACTACTGTTAGGAGAAACTCCCCATCACACCCCGTAATATCAGCATGTACACAAACACATCACACACATGCTGCTTTTATGACAGCCTTCTGTAAGGCTTTTTTGAAAGCGAAGCTTACCAGCCTTCTCCTCATTTACTTCTGCCTGGAGCACTAATAACTTCATTCTATAATTTAACAACAACAACAACAACAACAAAATGGAAAGGCATGGAGGAAAAAAACATATTGAAGTCATGAATTTCCATCATACAGTTTTACTCTCAGGCTGCTGGGCAAATGTCGCGGTAGAATGTATTGACAGAAGACTTATGGCATTGGATAAAATGGTTTTTGCTCTATTCAAAGCTCAACTGGAGTGCTTTGTTTGATTCCACAGCATGCATTCATTAAGATAGAGGCAACCTAGAAAAAACTGGGAGAACTGGCAAGAGGACAAATAGCTCACAAATATGGTTTAGGAACATATTTGAAACCAAAAATTTAGGACTTCCATAGCTGAAAGACTGTGCCTGTATATTAGTACATGTATTTGATTTTATCCATGCTTATGAAGGAGGAAGCAATACATCTGCACAGTCCTTTTCTTGATTTCTCAGAATTATAACTAATAGGATTGCAAACATTTTTTCCTTTAAAATGTTTGAGAGAGGAAAAATAACATACTGTTGAGAAAAGTGCTAGACACCAGTATTAATTTTATTTATGAGTTTGTCTCCAGGATCATAGCCATTCTTAGAACATCAAAAGAGTGGTGGGTGTGGCTGAGTGCTTTGTTCAGAAGTATCCCCATCTGCCAAAAAGAAAACAGCAACAAATCAATATACAGCTTGGAAATCTCAAAACAAGTGGCTGTTCCTGGACCATGGGCTTCCATCAAGTAGCAACCTAATAAAACAACTTTGATTAAATCAAAAGGTAGGGGGTTCTCAAACTATGTGTTGTCTCCTCCTATGATTCAGGAGCAACATAAGTAGAGGTGTCACAGAAGTGTTCACAACTTACCTCACATAAGATTGGCTCATCAAGATGGTAAATCAGTTTTTCATCTGCTTCCTTTTCTTAGCAGAAGAACAAAAGTTTTGAACAGATAACTTTGGGTGTGGCCATTCAGCCAAAAATGCGTTTCTACTATTTCCTAGTAGATATATTTTATATATCAAGTTTAGATACTGCACATCTCACTCTCAGAGTGGATTCTGAATGGTGTTCAACTACAGTAAAAGTATAAAAGCATAAAAACTGTAAAAAATACATCAATAAAAGGAGGCAAGTTAAAACAAAAATACAGTAAGTTAAAGGTTAAAAGATGAAGGGGAAGGTGCTAACTGCCCCTAGGATTGCAGGCCATTCTGCAAAGCCCCATCAGAATTGAGAGAGCAAAGTCTTCAAGATCTTTTGAAAAGCTAGGTAAGTGGGGATCCACATCCTCTCTGGGGGAGAATATTCCAGTGGGTGGAGGCAATGATAAAGACTCTCTTCCTGGTTATCTATTGTCTTGGAAGTTTTATTCATCTGGCAAGCACAGAAATCATTGGTCAATTTTGCCATGATATCACAAAATCTGAGAATCAGTGGTGAAATCCAAATTTTTTTACTACCAGTTCTGTGGGCTGGCTTTGTGGCGTGGCTTAGTGGGCATGGCAGGGGAAGGATACTGCAAAATCCCCATTCCCTCCCCACTCCTGGGGGAAGGATATTGCAAAATCTCCATTCCCACCCCACTCTGGGGCCAGCCAGAGGTGGTATTTGCCAGTTCTCCAAACTACTCAAAATTTTCGCTACCAGTTCTCCGAACTGCTCAAAATTTCCACTACCGGTTCTCCAGAACCTGCTGGATTTCACCCCTGCTGAGAACCCCAGATTTAGATAAATCTAAATCAAAACATAGATTTCCTACTAGCCAATTGGGTTCAAAGTGCAACATAAACCGGTAATAAAGGCAAAGCAGAAGTTTAAGGATTCCAGAAGGCAAATAACAATAGCAATAAGATTTAAGGCCAAGGCAGAAATATGATTAAGACAAACCAAAACATTAAAGAGTCATATGTACCAAATCTGAGGCACCAAAAATGAATTGTAATTATTAACTACTTTTTCTACTACTTTCATGGAAACAGAAGTACTGTCAACTTTTATTCATTATAACTGATCTTGAGTTGGTTCTGGCCTTCATCTTGCCCCATCGCACATTCATGTAATATTTCATTATTCCTATTAAGAATGTATAAACACAATATAGGAAAGGCAGGAAATAGTGTTATCCATGTTTCTAAATATTTCCCAGGGTTTCTTACTATTAGCCACACTATTTAGGATGGGAGTCTTGGATCAACTGGTGAGCCAATGGTTTCCTATTCTGTATGTCAATAATGCTAGGTTCAGTTTCTAGGAATGGGGTTTAGTCTAAACTTATATTCAAGTCAGATATTCCTGAATTAAATGCTAACCAAGTCAGTCAATTATAGATGTAATTTTATTTTCTTGTTTTTCTGTAAATCATACCTACAAAGGTGTTTCATTGCAATCATAGTCATAAATGAGTAACAAACCAAGGCACTAGAAAATAGGGCTTCTCTGTAAGCAATTAAATTTTGAGAAATGTGGTCTTCTTTTAATTGCTGGCTTCTTTCAGATGTTTTTCTAGACGTTTATCAATTCCTTCTAGTATCTGATATTCAATACTATCATTTTGGCTTTTTCCTTTCAAACTGTTTAAATATACAAATTTGATATACGAATTGCTCACGCATACCTGAAAGGGAAAGTGATAAAGATGCTTATTTCTGCATTCTTTATTTACATATTAGTTTTGCATCTCAGAGTTATCACCAAACCAAATCAGCCATATACTGTATGTCAAGCAACATAAAGTTCCAGTTGATCATTCTTGACTAAAATGGCAAACATTGGAAAGCTACAAGCATCTGACAAGCCACCCTATATAGCTGAAGGCCATTTCCTTGCTTATATTTTGTGCAATCTTCAAAATTGATTATGTGTCAGAAATCTCTGCAAGTATAATTCAAATAATTCATTAGAAGCAGTCTTAAAACCATTGAAAAGGAGATGGGGAATAGGATGAATTCTTGTTGTCTGGAATACAAATTTAGTTTTGTCTCATTATCTAGCTGCCATCAGAAAAATCACAATGCATTTATTATCCCTTTTTGATGGTCTATAAAATATACCATAAATATTTAAAAAGCAGAATTGAGATGCATCCATTATGGGTGTTTTGAAAATAGCTACTGAAGTGCCTTTAAATTAACATACAGGAAAATCTAGCTCTCTGTATCATGCTTTTATATCAATCATTACCAGAGTCTAGATCCATTCATAAGATTACTCTCATTTATTTGGATCCTACCTTCAGAATGCAAGGCATATCTGACATTTTCCTTCATTTTACCCTGAAGCATTCCTTGTCTAGTAGGCAAGACTAAGGGAGAATGATTTGTCCAAAAGCCAATTAAATATATCAAGACCAAGTATGGAATAACCATTTCATTGTTGATCCAGTTAGTCACTTCATGCTGCATATTTTGTCCAACCTCACCCTACCTTCCTTCCTCAGACTAAAAAATATTGCTCAACTAATTTTATTGAAACTTCGATTCAATAAAATTAGCAGCTGTACTCAAGAGTTATTATTCCTAAGTGATCATCAAGATAATGCAATAATTGTTCTTGGAGTACATGAAATGAGCCCACATACATCTTTCCTCAATGGTTTGTTTCAATAGTTTGTTGACAAAGACACAATTTGCTATAATCACTTTTTGTAGAGCCATAAAATTTGGTTTTTAATTAACTTGGATTGGGTACAAATCATGCATTAATGTTCTTAATTCTTGTTATGAATTCATTAATTTAGTTAATGTGATTTGTAGCCAGGTTTCCATTTGTTTGTATGTGTGCTTTTACTATGATTTAATTAAATTTTGATGAAGCTAGATAAGCTACTTTAGGGTACAAATTTATTATGTGGCCATTTATATAACAAGAGAAGTTGCTTTCAGTGTCATGGACATCTGTATGAAAAGAAGAGGAAAGGAAAGAGAAAGACAAAGGGGAAAGGAAAGGAAAGGAAAGGAAAGGAAAGGAAAGGAAAGGAGAAAGTTGTTGTTTAGCACTTTTAACAGAAATTATCCCTTGCAACTCCTCATAAACATTTATGTGTAACAAATATACTTTTTATATTTTAACCAGATAAAAATCATACAAACTTTGGGAAAGAAATAAAGAAATTAGAAAAAAAAATAGTATCAACAAATATAGAAAAAAGAAATGTATATTAACCACTGTTAAAAAAAACCAGTAAGTTGCTTCTTTACATCTTTTTTTCTATTTTCTTTATTTTCCCTATATCTATACAACAAATATATTACTTTCTGAATGGAAGACTGATGTGGGTGCAAAGAGTTAAGCTTGTAGTCAGAGTAAAAGGAGATTTCCACATCAGTAAGAGAGAGTATCACTTGGAAACTGATTTACTTCAAATATATATAAATTCTAAAATTTAGAAACAAAACCAAAATATAGAAACATGTGTATAATACAATATCCATTTTTTAAACCTATTTACAATACAACCTGCCCAAATCTAAAAGGGCTCTGGACAACATAAAACAAAGAGAAAATAACTAAATCAGAATCAGAGCCAACAACAAAAGAATTGCTTCTCTTTTGTTCAGGGTGTGTGTGTGTGAGAAAGAGAGGAGGGGGAGAGGGAGAGGGAGAAGGAAAGGGAGAGAGAGAGGGAGGAAGGGAGAGAGAGGGGAAGAGGGGGGGAAAGAAATCAAGTGAGGCATTTTCAGAATTTTTGACATGCCAATCTAAAAAAGCCTGATCTGATAATCCCACCAGATTGGTTATGATGAGCTCACCAAAGTTCTCTCTTAAATATTGTCATCTGGTAGGATCTAGGAAGCAAGCCTTTTCTATAGCTATGCCTACCCTATGGAATAGCTTCCCCCTTCTGATATATGGAGGGTCCTTGCCCTTTTTGCTCCCCAGAAGAGTGAAGACATGGCTCTTCCTTCAAGTTTTGGGAAGATGAGCACAGCTCATCTTTGGTTTTTAAGAGGACAGTGTTATGGTGCTGACTGAGCTGATGGAGGGAGGGTTGTGTGTGTTCTTGTTAGCTACTGTACGTAGGGCTGTTTTATGTGCTACTGTATAGATAGCCATATACATTTTTCAAATATATAAATGCTCTGATAGCAGGATAAAATCTAATGGGCCTGGAATAATATTCATAGGAAGTATAGCATCTACAAGTGTTCAAAATGAATTGAGATCAGATTTCTCCTTCCTTCCATCCTCTGGCATAGGTATGAGAGATTGTGGGAAGGCTGGAAAAGTCATGGAAGGGAAAGAAGGGTTAAATAATTTGGGGACAGAAGAAGAACTATTGGAAATTTATCTTAAAAACAGTGATTTAATTCAATGACAGGAAACCTAGGAAGAAGCATTTGAAATAATTCAGAGACCATTCCTTAAACAAACTCACCATTACAGGAAGGTCGGAAATTTCTTTCACAATGTCCAAGGTTTTTCTATTTACATACTACAATTAAAGGTACCTTCCTAAAGTCTGTATAATTCCTGCTTTATTTTTCCCAGGTGTGGAGGCCCAACAATAAGCAGTAAAAGTGAAATGGAGGACATATACTTATATTCCAATGTATATTTGAATGTAAAACATTGTTAGCCTCTCTCTTATTAATTTCTGTCTCAGGCAAAGACTAGAGAAGAAGTCGGTGTTCTATTACAGTAACTCATGGCAAATACACATGTTTAGGTTCCTCTGAGCAAATCTGTACTTGATTTGCCCTATTTTTAATCTATCACATAGGACTGAAGGGAAAATAAAGATAGGAACATTGCAACTAATGGTTATAAATATGAAACTTTATTCTATAGTTATTTAGGGTTCATTTGCACAGCCCTGAAGATGTACAGGTCCTCGATGTACGACCACAATTGAGCCCAATGCTTATAATGCTAAGTGACACATTTGTTAAGTGAGTTTTGCCCCATTTTATGCCCTTTTTGCTACAGTTGTTAAGTGCATCACTGCGGTTGTTAAATTAGTAATACGGTTGTTAAGAGAATCTGGCTTCCTCACTGACTTTGCTTATCAGAAGTTGCAAAAGGGGATCACATGACTAGGGAACACTGCAACCGTCATAAATATGAACAGCTGCAAAGCATCCTAATTTTGAGCATGAGGATGCTGCAAGGGTTGTAAATGTGAAAAACGGTCATACCAGTAAGTCACTTTTTTCAGTGAAGTTGTAACTTTGAACTGTCACTAACTGAATTGTTGTAAATCGAGGACTACTTATACTTTCATCCTATCCTTGCAGTGTCCCTGCAACAAGATTGGCAGAGTTGTTGCCCATACACAAGGGTGATGTTTGCTACTGCTGTTGGGAGGATAGAGTAGTGCTTCCACAGCCCTGCTGTAAATATGTTCCCTCCTTAAGTGGAGGAAGGCAGATCTGGGGCCACTTGCCAGGGAGAAACACTGCACTGAACTACTACACCTGTATCTATCCATACACAAAGCATCTGCATCCAGCTCCATCATTACATTGCCCCCATGAATTGACCCACTCTTCCCTTCCCTTGGCACGGTCAGCAACCACAATGTAAGACAGCCAGGAAAATTGACTGTGCCCTCCACGGCTTCTGGGAAACTAGGGGATTTCCCTGTTTCCAAAACGGAGGTTTTCTGGGTGATACTCTGTTCTTTTCAACAGCCAAGCTGAAATGGCAATGGAAGCACAGAGCTCTACATATAGAAAGGAAGTGGCCATCTTGTAGGATTTTCCATCTGACACAGAATGTTTGCATAAGAAGTCTTATTCTGTTTCCCAATGGAAAAGATCACTTTCTTGATGAGTTTCAGTCTAGCCTCAGCAACAGGCTGGTCCTCAAATGGAGGCATTGTTGAGAGGACACATCCTCAATAAACGAGAAGTACAGTAGTTATTTTGGAGCCAAGATAGGGAAACTGTGTGGATGATCCACAAAAAAGCAGAACAATGCATTCATTTTGCACATTCTCACAGGTAATCCTGGACAATGAAATTAGCTGGTAACACTTTCTTATTTCATAATGGGAAGAGGACTTGGGAATGGCAGTATGACAGCAAGGTAAAGTAACTTAAGAATCTAGGAGCGAGCGGGAATGATCAGAAATTGGAGGCCAATGTGACATTAACATTCACAAAATATCTATCTACCATAAGCCAAAATATGAATTATTTATTAAAAAAAATAAAGGTGGGATAAAAATGAATAAATAAATAATAGTATTGCCATTAATCCTTTAAGTCAGCCAGGATGCTCCTCACTCCCAGCCTGTTGCCTTCTTTTGAGAGGAAAGCACACATTTAATTAAATATTTATCATTTTATTTTCTAAGAAAGCCTGCATGAGGCCCAGTGATATTTTTGTAAATAAAGATGATGCTAGAGACTGCTGTTCTACTCTGCTGTTCTATTCCTGCTCTCCATTTTATAGTTTTAAAATTAACACAAGCTTTTTAAGAATCTTTAAGAAGTCAAACTGGGCAAAGAGTTTGGGAAACACCGAAGATATTTCTGCTACATTTAATCCCTGGGCTGTTTATTGACAAATTTTCGGAATTCTCTATTTGAATTTGATTTGCGAGACCAGTGTAAGCAAAGCTGTGTCATACAGTTTCTGAGCAAACAACCAAACACATTTGTTCTTCTACTGCAACAGGTGCAATCTGCTTTATAACTCATTTTTTTCCTGAAATGACAGAAAGCCAACTTTTCAGAAATCTACATGTGGTATAGATAATTTCACTTCTTGTTGCATGAGGCTGATATGCTATATTATCTCCCCCCCCCAAATCAGATTTTTTTTCTTCTCCTCTAATTGGCTTGACATATTAACAGCAAACATAATTTTACTGGGTCCTACCCTTCCAATTTGAAGCCTTTTACAAATTATTGTTGTTATGTAAAAAAATAAAAATAGTAACAAGCATGCATCATAATTTCATTTTCTAAATCTACCCCCTCAGTGGTTCCCTGTGGCTGAGAAACAGAACTGTATCATGGTTACATTCGCAAGATATAAGCAGACCTCTGTCCTGGACATAATATCCTGCAAGGCAAGTTTTTATGCACTGAAATTTTCCTTCCAAAAGAGAAACACATCTTTAACTTGTCTGTTGCTCAAATAAGGCGGGAAATCATTTAAAATCTAAATATAAAGTTCCCTTGAGGTAAAAGCAACACAATTTCTGCTTGTATTTTAATAGGATTCCTGCATAATTAATGTGAGGATTGAGCTTGCTTAGCTCTTCCTCTCTAGCGTTCCTAGCCTGCACATTCAAAAGAACAAAGGCCAGCTTTCATTTTAGTTGCTTCAGGAAACATCAGTGTTTTTCCATTCACAAATAAGGCAAGCATATTGGTAGACGCAAACATGAGGCCTGCCTTAGAGGAAAGCAGGATCTGTTGTTCTTCATTCCTCATTTCATTTTCAGTTTCAACTTTCCATCACTATCTGGAGCTCACTCACTAATTAGTTGTAATGAAGTTTACATATCCTAAAAAAACTAGAGCAGTGTCTAAAAACTATTTTGGTGAACTATCTGCAATAAATATGTGCAAAGTCAACATATGTCAGAATTGCAGAAGATTATTTAGATAAAGAATGTGGATAGCCTTCAGTTTTTATTTTTTATGTATTATGCCTGCAAAGCATATACATTTTGCACATTCTCAGAGTAGCACTGAAGTATATTGAGGCTTATGGACAGAGGAGTATAAAGTACAATGCAGCATCTGCATGTTTTGGGGAGTTTTAGCCAGTTTTTGCAGCAAGCAAAACGGAATACCTAAATTAAGTTGCTTTTGGCACATATTTTATAGTCTCAAAACTTAATTACAATAGATTCTAATTTTGTGTGGTTCTCTTATTCCATTTTTAAAAAAACAAATGCAAGATACAAGTAGATATACAAATAAATATTCTTACACATATAAAAACATTCTATTTAAAACATTATATTTGCATACATCAGAAGCAGACTTGATCTGAACCCAGTTCATGTAAGAAAACTAAAGATGAGTCAGATACATGGCCTCAACAATGTGCAAGATATTTTAGTCCTACAGATGACTTGGAATGAGTTACAGTCATACAACCCTCTATCAGGGAGTGCTATCAGGAAGTACCAGGACTATAAGGAAATATTAAATGAAAGCCATCACTGATCCAAGTTTCTTATCACTTGCACCCACTCAGTTTTCCTGACATGTTATGAAAATGGCTATGCTTTCTTTTAAGATTTCTGATTTCTTTTTTAAACTATCATTGCCAATTTCAGTTTCCTCTACACTATCTTATATTGAACAGGGTTTCATTTCAAATTGTTGTTCTAACAATCTATTTTTTCCTCGTTTGCTTCCTTGAGCATTCAAATGCTTAATACAGTTAATATAAATATTATTAGTTACTAATTGTCATTGAGCCCAATACAACTAGTGGGGACTGTATAGACAAATACCAGCCATCCTGATCTATCTTTAATAAGAAGTTGAAAATAGCTCTTTCAAGGAGTAATCTCTTTGGACCTGTCAATATATTTTATCCTCCTCTTTTATCCTGCCTATCATTCACTTGCATTTTAGGTACAAAGTATATTAATTTCCCTTTGTTGATAATTATCTCAATGCAGCCATCATATTTTATTTTGTCCAGGATGGATTTATAGGCTCTTCTTGCCACTCATAATGCTCTTAATAATCATCTCCAAATCCATAATTTCAAGATATGTATCTCAATTTTCTTGGTCTTTTTCAATTTCCAGCTTTACCACTGGAAAGACCACTGACTTAACTGTTTTACATCTTTTATCAGTAGTTTAAATTTTGCAGGTTAATATAGAGAGAAAATTGTTGCCCTCTTACCTGGAAATAAACTTCATTAAACTTTTATTTTACTAGAATATATTTATGGATTTTCCTTTAATGTCTTAAGTTCAAAATGCACTTGACAATTAAATCTGAATCTTTCCAAAATGGGTGCCCTCCATCTGTGCTAAATTTCCCATAATTTTCAGCCACCTTGGCAAACAACAAGACTATGACCACATGAACTGTAAATTATAGTTTATTCCAGCAGTACTGTTGCCAAAAAACAACACAGATGTGCCAAAGAAATCACCAAGAGTTGAGCTCAGCCAAATTTTTACTTTTACCTAAATCTGTACTTTTTGGGGGGGGGGGATCAAATCAAATGTGTCTCAAAAGTAGTGTTTTGACACCTACAGTTATAGTTACTTAATAGTTACTTTAACTATTAAGGAGGCCCACAAACTGATAACTACAGTAAAAAAAACCCTAAACTACATTGTAATCTTGGCACACCCCCTTCCATCCTATATCATCAATCTGATGCTTTTCAGATGGGCATGTAATAGACTGCACTAGCATGATAACATTTATAATATATTTAAATTGGAGGGGGGAAGCGCACCCACCCTTGTACTTTCATTTCCAAAGAGAAGGATTAGAAGGGCTGTGAGTGCCAACCAGTGGTGAAATCCAATTTTTTTTACTACCTGTTTTGTGGGTGTGGCTTAGTGGGCGTGGCTTAGCTTGGTGTGCGTGGCTTGGTAGGTGTGGCAGGGGAAGGATACTGCAAAATCTCCATTCCCACCCCACTCCAGAGGAAGGATACTGCAAAATTCCCATTCCCACCCCACTCCTGAGGAAGGATACTGCAAAATCTCCATTCCCACCACACTCCAGGGGAAGGATACTGCAAAATCTCCATTCCCACCCCACTCCAGGGAAAGGATACTGCAAAATCCCCATTCCCACTACACACCAGGATACTGCAAAATCTCCATGCCCACCCCACTCCAGGGGAAGGATACTGCAAAATCTCCATTCCCACCCAACTCTGGGGAAGGATACTGCAAAATCCCCATTCCCTCCCCACTCATGGGGGGAAAGGATATTGCAAAATCCCCATTCCCACCCCACTCTGGGACCAGCCAGTGTTATTTGCCGGTTCTCCGAACTACTCAAAATTTCAGCTGCTGGTTCTCCGAACTGCTCAATATTTCTACTACCGGTTCTCCAGAACCTGCTGGATTTCACCCCTGGTGCCAACCTTTTTTGCTTCTGCACATGAGTGACAAGCTAAATGTTTTGCCTTTTCTTTTCTTTGAGCAATTCTTAGTTTTATCCTGCTTCAAGTCTAATTCTCAGCTTCTGGTGACCTCATGGATATGTGTTTGTGATTTACTTGGAAACGATATTAAAGTGGTTTGCTACTGCTTCCTTCCAGGCTGTTTTGCGATACTTTGCGTCTCTAACACACCCTTTGGATTTCCTCTCCCGGCATTGGGAGCACTGACCTCGCACAGCATTTCGGCCAAGGTCAGCTACTTGCTGCCACCTAGCTCGACCAACCTGGACTAGCATAGGGAACTAATTGCGTGTAACTTCAACTACAGTAACTACCTCTCCGGAGTGGCGTAGTAGAGACCACGAGCTACGCAGGCACAATACTTTTTTTTTTTTTAATTATTATTTTTCAGGCTGTCTAAAGTATCGCCCGATGAAAATGTCGTTTTTCTCTGGCCCCGCTAACATCAACATGATCCATATCCTGACTATGCGATTCCTTTCATACCCTTTGCTACCGTCTTTAGTTTCATTTCGCTTTCTTTTCTTTTTTCTTCTTCTCCGAGGTAAGGCATTTCAGGCACTGCTTCGGCCCTCCTTTTAGTACAGAGGTCCAAGAAGGAGCCAGTCGCAAGAAAGGTCTTTTTGACGTAGGCGTCGCAACCGGGTTCCTTCTCGCTTGCAAAGCTGGAGAAGGGGGACCGCGCATGTAGTTTAAGGGAGTCATTCCGAGGTCCCGTCATGTATTATAAATTCGGCGGCTTCACGCAGAGGCTGGTTGGGGCCGGCGCTCCCGCTGCCTATTCTGCTCAGGTAACGAGAATCCTGTTGCCGAGCGACCGGCGAGTTGACCTTCACGGTTTTATTCCGTTGCAAACGGAAGGATTTCCCTACGAGGCTCATTTCTCTTTAGGCGCCGGAGAACGCGAAAAGCGGCGGGGGTGGGAGAGGGCGATGCCTTACGAAAGGATGCCGAAGGGGTCTACAGGGGCACGTGGGTGACAGCGGAGAGGTGGCGGTTGCTGTTGCTGAACCCTTCCCTGCTGATTGGCTAAAAGAAACGGAATTGCACTTTCTCCGGGTGTTCCTGTGGCACGAGGAGCAACCAACGGTCACGGGCACGTGGCCTTGACCTTGTGCTGTTGGAAAAGGATGCCTTTCCAACAGCACATATTCAGGCATTATGATTCCGTGTGTACAAGTGACCTAGAGTCCATGTATATAGTTATTTAATTCATGTGTTTTTTTTGTTTTTTAAAAAACAAACCTTCAGAGCAATTCCAAAATGGACAACCCTTTTACTGGATGGGGAAAAAAAGACATTTCTTCTGATTATCCTATTTTTAAACTTTTCTGCCAGGTTTTTGCAAGGCTCTAATATGCAGATAGTGTGTGTTGAACTTAATAGTTACTGATCTTTAATATTGTATGAATTTAAGGGAGGAATAGATAATCGAAAAGGCACTGATTTTTTTCCAGAGCCCCAATCTTTCCAAACCCAGAAAGGATTTCCTAATGTGCAAGAAAGAAAAAAGGATACCTTTTTTTTCTTTAGTTTTGATTAAAAAGAATTCCAGGTCAAGGGGGAAAATGACCCACATGAAAATGAAAATACATAGAAGAAAAGAGGCAAATTAAATTCAATCAATTAATGCAGTGTTTCCCAAACTTGGGAACTTTAAGAAGTGTGGACTTCAACTCCCAGAATTCCCCATCCAGCATGGCTGGCTGTGGGATTTTGGGAGTTGAAGTCCATACATCTTGAAGTTCCCAAGTTTGGGAAACACTGAATTAATGTGTTAAAAGGTGGGAGGAACATTTGTATATACAATTAAGGTCTGTAGTACCTGAACCTACTCTTTTAAAGGAAAAACCTACACATATAGAAGTTGCTTAATAAATTAGTTTGGGAAATTGATTTATTTACAGTTCAGGTATCACAAACGGGGATAAACCCTGCTAATCACATGCAAATATGATGAACTTCCAAGGACAAAGTCTTTAAGACTCTTGACCTTTATAGTAAAGGTTATAGGAAGTGATACAAGCATGTTGTTATAGTAATTATAGTAATTATTTCTGCTTTGGGTTGCTGAAATAAATTTTATTTAGTTTTTCTGGTTAACTGATTACTACTTTAAATAGAGTTTATGTCTAGATTCCATGACAATTTATGTATTAGGACTTTCTTATATTTAATTTTTTATTCAGTACCACAGCCTTAAAAAGGGTTTCATACAAACAAATTACGAGCTGGCAAAAAGCACGATAAATCTTTTGCCTGCCATTTAACTTGGCTTTCATGCTGACTGCAGGGAGGGGCAAGTGTTTCCACTAATTTGCTTGACAGAAAGCAATTTTTTTTAAAAAAAATTGATATATATGCCGCCCTTCTCCGGAGACTCAGGGCGGCTTACAATGCGTTAAGCAATAGCCTCCATACTTTTGTATATTTATACAAAGTCAGCTTATTGCCCCCACAACTGGGTCCTCAATTTACCTACCTTAGAAAGGATGGAAGGCTGAGTCAACCTTGAGCCTGGCAAGATTTGAATCTGCAGTAATTGCAGGCAGCTGGTCTTAATAACAGGGTGCTTTAGACCACTGTACTACCAAGGCTCTTTTAAAAAATAATTTATTAAAATATTAGGATTTTGCATTTACATGTTGACTTTAAAAGAACTAAGACTGCTTAAGAAAAACATCTATATTCTGAATAAATTCTGGTCTTATGAACTACATAAATTCTGGTTTTGGAAAGACACTATTAGAGACACCTTTAGATGCAATAAATTCAAAATTCTACAGTACTCAAAAGAGCAAGATGGATTAGCGGCTCTGATTAGCGGTTATATTGTATACCTAGCTGGTTGGTTAACATGGTTTTCAGAATGGATTTTATCTTACAGATTGGTTGAATTTATAGAAGGAGCAGGACTTCCAGACAATTAGCATTAATTTTTGTTGGTTAGCAGAAGCAATCTATAAGAGATCAGGCAATAATAAGTTATGTATTGAATAGCTGGGATAAATACAGGTACTTTACATTTGGATGCTTGACAACTGACTTACATTTATAATGGTTACAGTGTCCCAGAGTCATGTAATTTCCTTTTGCAACTTCTGACAAGCAAAATCAATGGGAAAACCAGATTTACTTAACCCTATTACTAATGTAAGAACTGCAGTGATTCACCTAACAAATGTGGCAAGAAAAGTCATAAAATGGGACAAAACTCACTTAATAAATTTCTCACTTAACAACATAAATGTTGGGCTCAATTGGTGTCGTAGGTAAAGGACTACCTGTACAGAAAATAATCAGTCCAGATTTCTTCCCTCTTGTATTTGTTTAGTGGAGAGTTAAACAAATTTGTTCAGATTGCAAGATTTAATAAGAAGACCAAAATAGAATCTTTTAACACACACTTAACGATGGTCCACTTTATTTGATTAGTCTCAATATCTTCTAATTTGTAGTATAATGCTAAAAACATTTGAAATATTTATTGGGCCTTAATTATAAACTACTAGTGAAGTATGACTCACCATTGGAACAGGTCAGAGATTGTATGATTAAATTGATGTAGGATTTGAATACAATAGAAATGGTAACCATCAAAATTTCAGTGGAAAAAGATTAAATTTACTGCAAATATATTTATAAAGAATCAGTAAGTTTTATTGATGTACTTTGATGTTACTTTGATTGCAAAAATTAACAATTTTCAAAAAATTGCTGGAAATGTAATGAGCAGATTGGATCATTTTTTTTGCTAATTGCTGGCTATATGATTCTTACTAGAATGAAACAAATCTAAAAATCAAATTCTCATTTCAATCTATGATATTCTTATAAATACCAAAAATTATTTTTCCTCAAATTATTTTCAATTAGCTTCACATGTGATAACTTCTGCAAGATACTACCCTGTTTCCCCTAAAATAAGACACCCTCTGATAATAAGCCCAATTGGGCTTTTGAGCGCATGCACTAAAATAAGCCATCCCCTGAAAATAAGCCCTTCCCAAAAATATTTAAACTCATGCGCAGCCAGGCCCTGACGTTTCCTCTGGTTTCCTCCATACACCCCAAAATAATAAGACCTCCCCAAAAATAAGGCCAAGTGCTTATTTCGGGGTTCAAAACAATTTTAAGACAGGGTCTTATTTTCGGGAAAACACAGTATATACTGCTTACTGGAAAGGTTGTCTCATCCCTTCAGTGGAAGAATAATCACGTTTTGGGAGTATACTTTGATATTTAGAATAATTTTGTACCTTAGACAGATTCTTAGCTCTAATACATGAAATGGTTCCACACCTAAAGTGTAGATTTATCCATATAATTTATATTTAGGAATTATGAGACATTCTTAGTAATGTGGATTGAATTTATTATAGCTAATTCAGATAATTCCATTTAGTGAATTGTATTGACTCTGATTCCTTATATTGACTTTTAGCTCAAGTTTAATAGTGACTTAGTTTTTTAACATAACATATACAGGTAGTCCTCATTTGTAAGTACAGTTGGGACCAGCAGCTTGGTTGTCAAGCGAAGTGATCAGTAAACAAAACTATGATTGTGTTTATTATCTTAATTCAACTTTGTTTACAGACTAGTAATGGTCATAAATGCAAGGATTGGTCATAAAGTTACTTTTCATCATCATTGTAACCAGGGTGGATTTGATTTAAATTGTGATTTAAATCACTAGTAAAAAGGCTTGATTTAAATCAACTCGATTTAAATCATAATTTTCAAAGAGCAATTGTCATCTCTGTCCCACAGCAGTTCCTCCTCTGACCCACTGTTGACTTACCCACAGTCCCAATATTTCAGAATATACAGCCTCATGCTACATAAGTAAGCTCCATTTCATGCTGAATAAACTAAATTATTAATGTATCTTAAATAGAAAACTATATTTGGATAGATTTTTACTCCAAAAGCATTTTATTAAAATAAATTTGATAAAAATAAAAAAGATCCAATTTAAATTTAAAAAATCTGATTTAAATTTTTAAAAATCCAATTTTTTAATTTTTTTAAAAAAAAATCATCAATTTTTGTCCACCCTGATTGTAACTGTAAATGGTTCCTAAATTAGGATTATCTGTGTATAATATATTTAACTATTTTTCTGTGTGCATGCCTTCAAGTTAGTCTTGATTCCTAGTGACTATCTTGGCAAATTCCTGCAGCTTTCTTAGCAACGTTTTTGGAACTGTCTTCTTCCTAAGGCTCAGAGAGTGATTGGCACAAAGTCACCCAGTTAGTTTAATGTTTAAGGTGAGGCTAGAATTCATAGTATCTCAGGTTCTAGCCTGATGTTTTTATCCCATGCACCAAACTGGTTTTCATGTAATTTTTTGCAATTAATTAATGATATATTAGAAAGCTATAACTTCCATTACATTTTTAAAGTCCTAGTTTATTCATCTGCACTACATTCTTTTACTTTTTTTTCATGTTGTTTGTACTTGTATGTTTGTCACCCAGGTTTTTCTCTTAACCATGGTCTGTGACAGACATGGATTCTCACAAAAGATCAGTACACATTATACTTCTAATGATAAAAAGTAAAAATGGAAAAAAGAAATTATTTCCATAGTGCATCTCTATAATGCATCCTTTTAGC